GTACTAAAACACATTCACAGGACAGAAATGAATCTTTCCTGAATAGCTTTAGAATGATTTTGAGCTGTATCAGAACAAGTAAGAGCACATAGTAGACTCGTATACGGCCATCAGTGGTGGTAGTACTTGATTTTGTGATTTAAGTAAAAGTTACAAAAAAAACAAAAAAAAATCTCAATTATAAGTAAAAGTATCACATGAAGAAATCTAGAGAAGTAGAAGTAGAAGTATTTAAGTAACCAGTTAAAAATATACTTTAAGAGTCAATAGTAAAGGCTTCAAATGTAATGATTTTGATAAAGATTTGTGCTGAATTTTGCTCAGCAGAAACAACTGGATCATAATTTTTTGGTTTTATTTGCATATTTTTTGTTTGTTCAACTATAAATGTGCTAACAATAAACCCCTCAGCTTTTTCAGCAGATCACAAACAATAATAAACAGAAAAATCAGAAATGTAGTGGATTAGAAAGTAAAGCCCGTTCTCAAATGTAGTGAAGTAAAATAGTGCAGTACTTTACTACTCTTACTTTGTCATGTTGTACCCCTGACGCCCATGGACCATTGCGGAACATACCAGGACGACTGAGGGATTACACAGATATATGACCGCATAATATAAAAGAAAATACTATGATTTAATGTGTTCCCTCAGTAAGTATTTTAAAGGCCAGAATAAATAACTCGAAGTCAAACAAATCGGACCACTTAGACGTGAAAGGTGACTGTGTAAATAATCAAAGTCTATGGGAGACCAGGGTTTCAAGTCTTTTATGAAAACCCAATGGAAGTATGGGTAATGTCATAGCATAGTTTTAGCTGTAAAATGCACCAGGTGAAATGCATCTGCAGTCTGCTCATGGATTCGTCATTTTGTCCTGAAAGTAAAAACCCAATAAATCAGTTTTCATTGACTTTGCTTCACTTTACGACCCAATTTGGCCACAGTTTAAGACGTTTTTATTACTGATTCTTCATATCTGGCATCTCCACGTAGTTTTTTAATGCAAGATAAACAGAGCTCCGATTGAAACCTTTTGTATTTGCTAATATGCTAAAGTAATTATTTCCAGTGACCGCCCACGTCATGGCCCTTCCTCAGACCCCTGTATTATAACAAGTTAAAGAGATTTTAAATGGAAGTCAATGGGGAGCAGTCAAGTATTTATGGGATATCTTGTAGTCATTTTTGACACAAGTCCTTTGTCAAATTAGAGGATCAAATTGATGCAAAAACATGAAAACTATAATGAATAAAACATGTTGGACTTCTAATGCTCTAGTCAGTTTATAGAAATGGCACTAACTCAAAAAATTGATCTAATAATTGTAATTAATTAAAGATTCACTTTGTAATTTTCCCGATATTACACAAAATTGATTTAAGCCACGTTAGAATGCTGGTGCCTCATCGAAAACATGGCCTTTGCAAAATTGTGTTTTATTTCATTCACACATGTTTGAGTAATCCACTATTATTAGTCTGTCTACATTTCCAAAACTCAAAATGCCTTGTTCCACCTTGTGATGTCATGAAGCGGTAGTTTCCAAGTTAACCTCTACCTTTTACCTTTTGTTTAGAAGAGCTGAAATCATCCAAATGATTCTAGAGAAGGTGCATGGAGTTTAAAAACACTGGAGCCCTTCCTGTTGGTGGAATAGAAAGTTTTCAGTTTTCAGAGAGAAGAACTCAGCCCAAATATGCAGGGTTTGTGTGTTAAACGTGTGTGAAATAAAGCACAACTCCAGGTATGTTTCCGATGAGGACACAACATTTTAACAGATCAGAAAATAGCTGAATATAGGCCAGGTAGCTCAATCCAGGCTAAACCGTAACCATGGGGATAGATGACAAATCACACTCAGTTTTTGCTACATCTTATTGTTTTAAAGTGAACTCTGTAACTTTTCTAGAGAGTCCATGTGCATCGATTCAGTTACAAGTATTTTTAATGTGATAAAAATACCTTGACAAATATGCATTCTTACTTTGGATCACCTCTCCACAGACCTGACCTGTATTTTGTCCCGGTGGCATCCCTTACTTGTCTAGTTGGAGATAAATTTAAAACCGCACTTGAAATACTTCCATGAAGGCTTTTAGAAACTTTTATTAAAATTCAAATCAATTAAAACAAAGACTACCCTGTTATTTATGTATGTAGATTACTTCAATTTATCACAATGTTGTATTATTTATCATGTCTCAAAAGCATTGAGACACAAACATCTCTCTTTTATATTTATTAATTTTAGCATGACTCTCAAAAAACATAAAAAGATAAACATAAAACTGGACAGGAAATAGTGACGCTAACAGTGAAATTGTCGCGCGCTATTGTGCACAAAAAAGCCCATAACATCTCCGTGGAAGCAAGCAGGTCCTGTACTCTCCACCAGAAAACGTCACACAGTTCGAATTTAAATTTACGCCGCCCCTTATTTCAAAATGTCACCATCTCAAGAACCTTCTCTCACCCCATATTTGTTGTTGTTAAATACATTTGCGATGCTTCTTCATCATTGTTTGAATCAGCCTTATGCTAAACTGGCACGGCTCCCTAGAAGCCCCATAAACCTCAGTGTTATTGCTCCTCACAGCAGTGCAGCAGTAAATGCCAGCAGCACTGCTATTTCCAATGGCTCTTAAGTTTCCCTGTGTCCCTCTTTCTCTCCGCACACATACTCCATCTGTCTACAGTATTCCTAATCTCATTTTGTCTCTTTCTCTTATTCAATCCGTAGGAAAATGCACTCGGATACATTCTGTGGAGCTGTCATTGTTTTCTATAATGTTGTTTGGACTTCATAATGTATCAGGGGTGGTATTCTGTTTTCTTCATGCGTGTTTAGGTTATCCTGATTGGTTAGGACGTCTGTATATGAAATCAGTTGGTCTCAACTCTCTATGCAAAAGATAAAAACATTAACAATTAGGGATGCACTGATAGTGATATATATGTGGTATGGGATATCGGTGCTGATCCACAAAATCGGTTCCATGATATCAATTCAGCCAATATCCTGATTGGGCATTATATTTGATGCCGTAAGATTATTTCCTGGCTGATGTATTCGTAGGACGTCTCTTAATGCTTTCTTCATGCAAATAATAAAAAATGTATACTTGCAGGATAAATAAAAGTTGCATAATACAAATGTAAAACAAAAAAATGCCATTCTCAGTCCCTAAATTAAAAATCAAATCAAACTTTATTTATAAAGCACTTTTCATAACAGAAATGTAACATAAACTGCTTTATAGTGATTAAAACAATCCCACATTTCCTTCCACCCAACCACTCACCCAGCCCCCACAGCTGCCCGACCCCACACAACAAAACAACCACACCACACACACACAAACACACACACACACTAACATGATAAAATACATAAAACTACACCTGGTATAATTTAATATGAGGTAGCTTAAGTATCTGTATTGATGAAAAATTAAATGATAAAATGAAAATAAAATGATGAAAAATCCAATTTTGGTGGACTATTTGAACTTTTTTTTTTTTTTTTTTAATCAATGGTGAGGTTATTGCTTTGCCTGGAATGTTCCAAAGTATGGCATTAAACTTAAACCTGTGGAGAGACAAGACCTCGCTTACAATAAGAATACATCTGTTTCAGGGTATTTCTTTATTACTTTATTTTATTTCTTTATGTATTTATTTTTGTGTGTTTAAAAATCTATAACTGATGATTAATGAAATATTGTGTAACATTCCAAGCAAAGCAATAACATCCCCATGGAGACAAGCAGGTGTTGGACCCCCCCTCAAATGTTACATAGCACACCTTTGACTTCACTCTAAGCATATACATCTGTTAGCATGCAAATGATTTGATCAAATATACTTCCTCTTCACTGTTTACATCAGGCTCTAATCTAATTAAGTGTTCAAATGCATAGTGAGAGACAAATTCAAGATAAATACAATTTCCCTGCTATTTAGACTGCTATTTTAATCATGAAATGTAAATTATTATGTGTTTTGCATTAACAGAGTCTAAACAATATCGAGGTTTTCAAAATCTCAGATATGATGATGTTATACTCCAATATCCACATTGTGATCTTAAGAGAAACATCCAAACGATACAGCTTTGACAAAGGAAATGTTACATCAGACTGACTGTATTTTGCTGCTTCACTAGTCCAACAGTGTAATAATAATAATAATAATAATGATGCAAATGTCCCATATGCATGCAGTGAAAATGGCGGAAGCTGTTTTTGGCTCAGATTTAGAAATTGGGTGTGTTTTTATGTGGTTTGGCATTGGTCCTGTATTTGACATTACGAGTTTTGTACCTCACAGAGACAGACAGACCCAGTGTTTTTATAAGGGCGCTTTGGCTGGGAGGGAGGCAGCATGTGGTGGTTAACTGTGCGTGTTTGCTTTGGTCAGGAGAATTTCACTTTCCTACACGGATATGACCACAAAACTCAAAGAAATTCTTTACTTGTGATCATTAAATATTTTCTTACATTAAAAAATATGTTTCATCTTATTTCACCTTGTCAACTGTTGCATGTTGGTTTGAAAATCCTATGTTATGTAGAGACAAACGAACATTTCATCTCATTTAATTTGTAAAAATAATGTACCTTATAATTGTGTTATTTATTATTTTATTATTTACCTAATAATGGCTCTGGAATAAAATATTTTTGTTGAATTTGATTGTTTGTTTTTCTGCCAAGCAATGCAAGTCTAAAATAACTTTCTATCTCTGCACAGTTCTCATAATATCCCATATTATACTAAAAAAAAAAGCTATACTTTATTATCAGTCTATAGGGAGAACAGATGGTAGTAAGTGTCTAAGCTAAAATCTGTTATATTTCCACAAGAACTATACACACTGTACTTATCACTGTCCAAATGAAATGAAATGAAATTAAAGTAAAATTCAATAAAATAAAATCAATAAAACTATTGTAGCCAAAATAACACTAACTGTCTCTTTCCTCTTGGTTCCAGTGTCTGTGGGCTTTGAGTACGAGTCGTGTTTGGACCTGATTCTGTGGGAGAAGAGGACGGCCATTTTGCAGGGCTATGAGCTGGACGCCTCTAACATGGGAGGATGGACCCTGGACAAGCACCACATCCTGGACGTACAGAACGGTAGGACTAGAATACTTTATGATCTGGTACTTTTTATGATATTCTACTGCGGATGTTTCCCTGCTATTGTTAGAGCTATATATGACTTGGCCAGAACTGATTTATCAAGAATTAAAACTGCTGACAGAGCTGTATTTTCTTATAGTTGATAGGTACAGTACTTCTGGAAAGGATTAATCTTGATTAGACATTACTAATACTTTGATAGAGATCGCTACAACAGTATCCATGGGTTTCTAACTGATGACATATTAGGAAGAATGACACAGGGATGAACAATTTAAAACAACATATGATGTCATCTGAATGGGAAAAAGTTCCCAAAAGTGTTGCACATAACAGGAAGCTTAAACCCATGAATAGTGTGATTACTTCCATGAAAATGTTAACATAGCAATAAATCTTGCATTAAATGTGCACTGTGCAACTTTTCTGATGGAGGATCCACTATCTACACTATCTGTCTGAAACCATGGACATGTTGTCTCTCGTCTGTATTCTAGCACATCTGTACACAAGGCACACCTTATGAAAACCAGAAGACCATCACTGACGCACTGGTTTTTCCTCTAAATGAAATTTTGGACCAGAGCAAATTCACTAAGAAGCTTTGTACACAGGAGTAGGATGGTCATTGGAGATTGAAGACCCCTTTAGAGATCCAAAAAGAAACAATTTTGGAGCCAGTCGGCAGTTTAGGCCCTCTACGAGGTTTCAGTTTAGATGTAGCTATCCAATTCTTCCCACCAATATCCAGAACCCAGAATTCAGAGACAGGCTGACCTTTGTGAGCCTTTGTGAATTTCTTCTGAATCTAAACTACAGGGAGAGGATAACTCCAGGTGATGCCTTATGTCACTCATTAATAACAATGGTGTCCTTTAAGGAGGATGAAAGTGATTAGGCCAACAGGGCACGAGACATGATTTATTTATTTACACAAATCTTTGTCTCTTATTTCAGGATATAGACTATGCTTTTAACAATCTACTTTTACAATATACAATCTACTACTGCAATTCAACCTTTCACACGGGTACCAATCTGCACCTGTACCCGCAGCTTTAGTGTAAAGCCGGTGTAATACGATTCAATTCAAATTCAATTCATTCTTTGTTTTTCAAGGACCTTTTTAGCATTAAAACCAACTGCAATGAAATTATGCAAGATAGATCAAGTTTAATGGCATAATACTGACATTCCAGCCAAAGCAATAAAGTCGCCATTGAGGCAAACAGGTAGAGGACACTCCAGCAGAAATGTCATTCTATAATGAAGGCTTTCGGGTATTCATCATATTGTGGAGATGCGTTTTGGTATACACAGTCACTTCATCCCAGATTTATTAACTACAGCTAACTATGAAAACAAAAACTGTGTAATAACGTAGTATGCATAGTTTTCACACAGGATAGTGGCTGGAATTTGTGCGCCCATAGGATAAATGATAGTGATTTTAAAAGCTTTAAATGTGCACTATGTAACTTTTAGGTTGGGGGTTCGACACCTGCTTTTTTCTATGGACATGTCATTGCTCTGTCTGGAATGTTCCACAGTGTGACATTAAACTCTACCTTGCATTTATTCAATTACAGGTGGTTTTATAGCTCAAAATTACCATATTTTCTCGACTATAAGTCGCTCCACAGTATAAGTCACACCAGGCAAAAAATGCGCAATGAAGAAGAAAAAAACATATATCAGTCGCACCGGACTATAAGTCGCACTTTTTGGAGAAATTTATTTTATAAAATCAGAGACCAGGAACCGACGTTTCATTGTGAAAGGCAAATTATAGTAATAACAATAGAATAAAGAACAACAGACTGAATAGGCGATAATATGTTAACGTAACATATTAACAGTTATTCAGATAATTACAGCATAAAGAACATAACATAAGTTTACTAAACTCACGATCTCACTCCAAATCACTAAATCCAAGAGGTAAACAGAGCAGCGCTTCCTCTTCTGTGCAGCTGTCGTCAGACTCAGCATCAGTTTCAGTTAGAATTATTCCAGCCTTTCTGAATCCCGACAGGATGGTTTCGATTGTCATTGAAGTTCAGGCTTTATTGATTGATCCAGTGACTTCCAGGAAAGTTGCATGGCGCACCCCCCGGTTGCCGTGAAGCTGTGTTCTCCATCCCCGCTTTCCGGCAGTCCCTCACAAGTTTCTCGCTCCCTCCAAACTTTTTTCTGCTGCTCGATTTGCAGCAAGACAGCAGCTTTTTCTACAGGAGGCATGTGCAGTAGAGTGTGAAGTGACAGTGGCACAGGAGTAATAGTAGTACTAGACACTGACACACAAGCCTAGAGCACCCTCTCCCGGCTGTCAGTCTGAAAATTTTAATATATGTCGCTCCGGAGTATAAGTCGCAGGAAACACCCAAACCATGAGAAAAAGTGCAACTTATAGTCCAAAAAATACGGTATCTAGAAAAACAGGCATTTTGACTATGAGCGGGGTTACCTCTCTACAGATTTGACCTGTAACTTGGTCTCCATGAAGATAGAAAGGTTTAATACCATACTGTGGAACATTCCAGACAAAGCAATAACATCTCCAAGGAGAAATGTATTTGATGGACCTTCTACCAGAAAAGTTACACAATGCACTTTTAAAATGATCCACACAGATGAGAGAATACATAAACGTAAGGAAACAATGAATGAGATGATGGGTCCAAACTTTAGTATTGGCTATTTTCTATAACTCTGAAGTCATCAAATTTCTGTTTTTGTTCATTTTGAAAATCATAATAGATCCGACTATTACACAGTGGTATAAAGACATGTTTAGAGTTTGACCCATGGAAAGACTCAGTGCATAATTAAAAGGTAATGATGACGTTTTTATGGATCTGTAGTGACCTTGGCTCGATTACTTGATGATCTCAGTGACATTGTACAGAGAGGTACAGACTCAGTGTAATAGCAAGCTGTAGGTTTGCAGAGGATGTTTGTGTAATGACGGAAACTGAAATTTGTGCTCAGACCGCGGTGTGTTTTGTGTGTTGGATTAAATTTAATAAAATATGTAAAAAAAAGAGAAAAAAGAAAAACATAATAGCGTATTTCTACAATCCACATCCTCTGGCAAAACAGCTGCTGTGGTGACCCATAGCAACAGGCTCCGTGCAGCTCAGAGTGAGGCAAAACAATGGAACAGAAACTCGCTCAATTAAAGTGCGCCTCAAGTGTGCACCTCAGCTCAGGGAGGTCAGACTTATGCAAAGACAACCAAACAGGAAATGCATCAGCAGTCAGCGCCGGCGGCTAAAATCTCTTTCTCTTGAACTTTGGTACCTCTCAGATTGTCTTTCCTATTTCAGCTCTCGTCTCAAAATCGTTGTCTGGTATTCTTTGTTCATTATAAGTTTAACGCACAACTTTGAATTCAGTGTATATGTGGAAATGACAGGGCCAGAGGGTAAATGCAGTGTAATAGTACATAGATAGGCAGCACGTTTTAAGGTTGTGGTACGATTCCCGTTAACTTACCGTACTTAGCATGTACTTGCCTGATTTTGTTCCTTAAAACATGAAAAATAGAAGTAGTTTAAATGTTTTGCAGTACTCCAAAGTTACTCCGGACTTACCCTATGCATTCCAAGCATCCTAATTATTCACCATGATGAGTTTATTAGTGCTTTTCACAACTTTCAGAGACCAGAGCAGAGTCCTTGTCATCACAGCAAGCCTAATAACAACTAGCATGCTAATTTACACTTCCTACAAATGAACAATGCACTATAAAAAAATTAAAAAAAAGCAAGGTTTGTGTGTTAAACGTGTGAATGAAACAAAACACAACTCCAGGTATGCTTTTGATGTGAAAATAGAGTAATATGAACTCTTAAATTAAACATTAAAAAGACCAAATAAAATAAAAAATATATATATAAAACCTACAGATTTACATCTTTGAAAATTAAGGCTAATTGTCATCCTATACCTGCTGCAAACTTGATCTAAATTACCCGCATAAATTCCCTCTTTTCTTTGTGATTCTGTCAAATCCAAATGATATATTCAGAAAACAAAAATACAGATATATTTATAGTCTAGACAGAACTCTTTTCATCTGCACACACCCGGAGACATTTGCCTTATTGTGCAAATGAGCTGTAAGTCTGTGAAAATGCCTTCCTTATGGTTCTCCCTTGGACTCCTCTCAGTATACATCTACAGACCATTAGCTGGCTAATTACATGTCCAGGACTAACTGCGTTTTAAAATGCACTTCCTGCTGCAGTTGTCAAAACAATATGGTCTTGCTGCTTTGGTCGAACAATGGAAGAAAATGAGAATCGAGAGTTAGGTGTCTGCTTATAAGTTCATGTGATATTGTTATATTCTTAAAGGTCCTATATTACACAAAACTGACTCCTGTGAGCTTCAAGTCAGAGTGGTAGAATGTCGTTACCTCCTCAAAAGCGTACCTGGAGTTGTGTTTTGCTTCCTTCACACGTGCTTGAATAATCCTGGATTATTTGTCTGTCAACATCTCCAAAAATCAAAATGCTCTGTGTCACCTTGTGATGTCATGAAGCGGTATTTTTTTAGTTAACAGCTACATTTTTGTTTACTTTAGTTCAGTATAATCCATGTGTCATTCGTTCATTCATTTTTCAAAATAAAACAAAAAATTAAGAAAATAAAAAAACAACTATTTTCTTCATTATTTGTGTTCAAAACCAAAATGAAAAAAAAAAAAATGGATAACGATGCTTTTTTCGGTTTTCGATTTTGTGTTTAAATGAATAATGGAAAAAATGGATAACAGCCGTTTCCCGCTTCCGTGACTTAAATGATGCCGGACTGAATCAGGACTAAACCAGAACTAAAACAGGACAAAACCAGGTCTAAGCCGGTCTCTGGTCCTGGTCTGGTCCCTGTTTCCTGATCACTCCTGGTTCAGTCCTGGTTTAGTCCTGGTTCAGTTCTGGTTTAGTCCTGGTTTAGGACTGAGACCAGGACCAGACCAGGACTGAGAC